TCCTAAAAAATTTCTTTTAATTTTAAAAAAATTATGTTTGTTGCATATAGCTCAATCCTTATTAAAAAATGTTTTTTGACAAATACTTGTGTTGATTTTCCTTTGCATATGTTGGAATATACACCAAGTTTGTAAAATTCCTTAAATATTTGGCTAATATTTCAATAATCCTAAAAATTTTAATTCATGAAAATTAATGATCAATATACTGGTAAAAATGTTAGACCTATAAGTAGGCTAATATTTAAATATTAAGAGTTGATTAGAAAATTTTAAAGAAATATTAAGAGTTGATTAGAAAATTTTAAGGATTATTTTAGATATTTACCAATTTTAATTGAAAGCATTTTTCACCACAATGTATGACTTGTGGAGAATCATTTTGTTTTTCAAGATAGGTGAATCCTGTCAGGGTACTTGCATAAACCCTTCTCATAAGAATTTGTCTAAGCAAATAAGCCTATAATAAGCTATAGACAAACTATCAGTTAAAAATTCATCAAAATCATTAAAGCTTACCTTAGATATGGTGCACTAGAAGTGCTAATACCTTCCCTAGTCGTAATTAGTCTCTTACCATTTGAATTTATGATAAGACTGATACACTTGGTCTTCTAGTGACTCTAAATCAAACAACTAGTTGGCGACTCTTCAATCCCGACATCCCACCATATCAACACACACATGCAGCAAAAAATATATTCTATTATAACTCTAAAAACTAAAAAAGGAAAAAAAATAGAGCAATGTTCAAACTGAATAAAACTTCAGGGGCTAAATATAAAACAATGAAATATTCTGAATTGGGAGTAGAATTTCACTTAAGAACATAATATCATAAAAGAGAGAGAGAAAGAGTATAATATTTAGATTGTTTAAATTGATTAAGAGCATAGTTATAGTTTCTTTCTTCTTCTTTTTTTTTTTTTCTTCTTTTTCTTCTTCTCTATTTTTTTGCTTTTGCCTAATTGACCTATTTAATAAGCTTCATTAAAGAATAATTTGAAATGCAAATCATGTTTAGAGTTTAAAGAATTTATGAAAATTCTACTTTAAGAATAAAGAAGTTTCAAGTTAATAATCCTGCAAAAAAGTTTTGAGATAAACAAATTATTTTATATGGATACATTATGCATTGCCTTCTTGACTAAGATGCACTACTTTGCTAAAACAAAATAAAAAAAAGTAATGCATGTTAGAGATGTTGGTCCAAGTAAAAGCATATTTATATTAAGCTTGCAATTATATAATTAAAGGAGGAGATATTTTTGGTATACTTGGTATTTCATCCATTTAAATTAAATAATCATATAAAATTTTATATATTTTATGCAATTTATAAAAAAATATAAATATAAATATAAATCACAATAATTTTAATGTGTGATTATTAATTAGTATATATGACTTAATTTAAGTAAATGGAATATAGAATAGATTAATTAGATCAGTGACTCGTGTTAAGCCATAAGCTGGTTTTTTTATGTAAAAAAAGAAATAACTAAGGAGATGGTAGTGTTTTTTTTTTTAAAAAAAGAAAAATTTAATACTCGGATCATTAACTTGACTAGATCTAATAAAATCGAGTAATCTACTCATATGATTTAAATTGTAAGCTGACACGACCAAAAGATTGATATATTCTCCCAAGTATAGGAGTGTCGAAGTAATAAATAACCCGGTAAGACCGGTGTTGAATCATAGAGAGGTTAATTATACAAATTATAAACAACAATTATAAACAACAATAATAGTAATAACAATAACAACAATAATAGTAGCAATAATAATACTAATAATAATAATACTCGTAGTAGCAGCAACAACAACACTAATAATAATAGTATTAGTAGTAGTAGTAGTAGTAGTAATAATAAAGAGGAGGAAGAAGAAGAAGTTGATGAGAACTTTTAGATGAAAGATTAACGTAAGAATTAAATAATGATAACAATAAATATCAAGGTTAGAGGATTCACTAATA